ACCTTGAGGAGGAACTTCAGACATTGTATTCAGTCTATTGATTGATGAGGTGGCGAGGAGGAGGAGGAATCCGAAGTAGAAGTGGGCTGTTGTCTTCTTCTCTCTCCTTTGTCTATTCTCCCTCTCTCCTCCTTCGTCTGTGTATGATTCTCACCTCATTCTATCATCACACATATTACGATTGTTTGTCATTTCATCAGCAGATCGATAATCATAGGGACTGGTAATGTTGACGAGTATCATCACGTCTGGGCTCATTGCAGTAAGTGATAATCCACCTTAACCGGCTGTGTTAAGCATTAACAACTGCCCGACAACTGATACCCTGGGGCACCAACCACTGCCCTCAAGGTACCTGTGACGAAAATCAAAGCAGACTATCACTCACCCACACCAGATGGAAAACTCTACAGACTGTCGGTTCACACCCCATTACAAGCAAGCAAAATACCCACGAAACAAAGAAGGTCTGTCACAACCACAAACTACACTCCAGACACGCCGCTGGCACTAGAGGCACAGCATGGCCGCGTAGTGACGGCCCCGACCACTGCCGCTTGACCTGACCGGAGAAAACCATAGCAGGGTGCTAGCGAAGTCATGGTATATATAGTCAAACAGAGCTGCGCGGTAAACCGTAGGCAGAGAGGGAAAAGAAGACAACAAACGAGGGGCTGTGACAAACTGTTTCGTCGGAGTTTCACCGACTCATCAGGCGGTTGAACCCTCAACAGTCTGCAGAATCCCCTAACTGATTACACTGTAAGTGATAATCCACCTTAACCCCGGCTGTGGTTAAGCATCAACAACTGCCGACAACTGATACCCTGAGGTGGGCACCAACCACTGCCCTCAAGGTACCTGTGACGAAAATCAAAGCAGACTATCACTCACCCACACCAGATGGAAAACTCTACGGACTGTCGGTTCACACCCCATCACAAGCAAGCGAAACACCCACGAAACAAAGGTAGGTCTGTCACAACCACACCGACGAAACAGTTTGTCACAGCCCCTCGTTTGTTGTCCTCTTCTCCCTCTCTGCCTACAGTTTACCGGGCAGCTCTGTTTTCATCACTTCACTGACTCGTCAGGAGGCTGAACCCTATACATCATCAAACAGAGCTGCGCAGTAAGCTGTGGGCTGAGAGGGAGAAGAGGACATATATATATTTCGTCAAACAGAGCTGCCCGGTAAACCGTAGGCAGAAAGGGAGAAGAGGACAAAAAACGAGGTGCTGTGAAAAACTGTTTTGTCGGAGTTTCACTGATATATATACAGCGGCCCCCTGATGACGAGGAGACAGCTTTTCCAAAAAAAGAAAAAAGAAAGGAACGCGCGGTCATTATAGCTGTATTTGGTGCAATTTTCAGTCCAAATACCGGGCGCTCTATAGGGGTGAAGACGGTAGCTGCAGGTGCTCCAAAGGACACTTGACTCTTGCGACAATGATTTGAACTCGCAATAGACTATGATGGGGGACAAGGGCCTTGAAGTGTGATCCCGCCATGGTTGACCTTTGTTATGTGATGTGTCGCGTCTGTCACAGCCAGCCACAGTACGGATAGACTTTGAGCCCTTTCTGGTGGTGTTCAAACTTTGAAGTTTAAAGAGCATTTGGCTCGATTTGCAGTCTGTTTGGCTTTTGAAAAACGGGTTTTGTTGATTTGCCTGGGGCCGGGGCAGTTGCACCTGCCTCAGACAGGTCTCGCTACATGAGTTGTCCAGTCAAGTCTGCCTTATGATCGCTGAGCACTCGATGCTTTGGAATTTCTATCCATTTGATCATCCAGTCACTCAAGAGGAGAGACGAAATGAACGCATACTGAGTTACACTTCTGCCCTTTGATATTCATAATTTGCAGCGGAAGATGTTTGGTTTCCCCGAAGAAGAAACAAGAATGTCTCCAAAGGAGAAGCGGGAAAGAGAAAAAGCGCTGCAAATTGCTGGACAGAAATCTCAAGAGCCTCAACGCCTCACCCACAAAATGTTAAGGGTAAGATTTCTAATTCTCTACCCCTCCTGCCCAGCAAACTGAAATGGAGAGTTGAGTTTGAGATTGAGATTGAGATTGAGATTGAGATTGACATTGACATTGACATTGAGATTGAGATTGAGATTGAGAGATTGAGAGATTGAGATTGAGATTGAGATTGAGATTGAGAATGAGAATGAGAATGAGATTGAGACTGAGAGATAGAGCGATTGAGATTGAGATTGAGATTGAGAGATTGAGAGATTGAGAGATTCATACCTTTCTCGGCCTATTGGCTAAGATCAAGTGTAGTATCTGTTCTGGTCAGTTTAATATCTGATCCAAAAAAAAGAAAAAGAAAAAAAAAAAGAAGAGATTGAGAGATTGAGAGATCGAGAGATTCAGAGATTGAGGTTTCTAGCACATTGAAATGCAGAGGTTGCCAAATTCGTGTGTGCAACTATGTCATGCATTGCATTGCATTGCATTTCATTGGGACCCAACAACAGTATTGGGAGGCTTTCCAAACAAACAGTGTGCAGACGAATTCACTGCTTGCTGACATTAGGCAGCCGGAAATGTTTTCACAGGTTATGGCCGGCAAGGAAGGAGGAAGAAAGCTGTGGTCGCCTGCAGATGAGAAAGTCAGGCCAATGATGGAGGTTGTAAGAGGAGCTGTCTTCAGCATGCTTCAAGTAAGATCATCATCCCTCCCTACTTCCCCCCCAACTTCCCCCCCTACTTCCCTCCCTACTTCCCTCCTTCCCTCCCTACACCTCTCCCTTTCTGCCACAATCCCTCCTAGACTCTCTTCCTGACCCTCTCCCTCCCTCCCTCCCTGCCTGCCGCTCTAGGAGGGCTGATAGACTAACTGGCTTGGCCTGTGTGTAAGCCAGTGGTGCAATGGGATGCTCTTGTGCTTGTTGTTTAATATATACTGTGCAAGGAAAATGAGCGATAGCAAAATGACAAAAATCCAGAATGCAAAATCACATTTAAAGCCAGAAAGTCCAACGCTGTCCAGGAAGCAGAAATGCACTGATATTCCACCGATGGAGAACCAGAACACTGAATCCGAATGTCAATGAGAGCATACTCTCGCCACCACCAACATATGTATCCAAAGCCCTTCCTCCTTGGCGCTCAGTGCCCAGACTACAATCACACAGCTACTAGCAGCCTACGAATTGACAATGCATCCTGTTGACGTCAGCAGCAAACAACCGAAGTACATGAAGATGTCGACCCTGTAGACCATCACCAAGACCAGGTACGTGCCCTCTCATCATCATCTTCATCTCTCTCTCTCTCTCTCACCCTCGACTTCTACACCCACGTCTTCTCCCTCATTCACGAAGACCACCACCACCTCCACTGGCTATGTAGGCTATGAAGGCTGGCGCTGCCCTCAGCCGCGCTCTGCTCTGTCTCGACGCCCGCGCGCACCTGCACCTTGGCGCTAGCGCAGCAGCCCGCGAGCGCTTGCTCCAGCAGCGCTGCCGCATCTACACGTGAGTGCCCGAATCCCTCGCCCGGTGCCCAGCCCTTTCCTATATGGAAAGTGGCGGGCACATTCCCGTGAGCCCAAGTTTCCAGTAGCTTCAGTCTCGGGCAAAGTGTCTGCGCCCAGGCCCGTTCAGACAGTGGCCTGGGACCGAATTGGTTAGGCATGCCCAACCACCCGTCCACAGACGTGCGGTGTTCCCTGCTTCGACCAAGTTGCTGGAGGAGCCTGGAAGGCTCACAAATTTTTCTGACTCTCACAAGCAAAGCGGATGTAACCAACTGCCGCGTGGCAACTGTCTGGCGCCCGCCAAGATTTGCAAAAATTGACGAGTTCAGGGCACATTGAGATTCAGGTGGCCCGCCTTCACTTAGGGCGGGCACGTGTGTGCTGAGGGGCCTTTTGCCGAGGGTTAAACCCTCGCAATTGTTTTTTTCTTAAAAACAAAACTCCTTTATTTTATTGTCTTTAGACTCTTTACTGAATTTGCGAGTTCCCTGTTAGCCTTCACGCATTGCCCGGATGTCACTTCTTCAAAGTCAGATGGTCAATGGGAGTGAAGCCATCGCCGACAAAACCCCACTAGAGGCCAAGTTTTCAAGCACAAGCCAAGTTAGCCAGCTGAAAGTTTTCTAACTCTGGAACACCACCCTATCCATTCCTTTGATCTGGAAAGCCGCATGTGCCGCGGCGACTCATTTCGCCTTTTTGCAATAGACTCTCATCAAGGAGCTTACCTTGCATCCAATGATGCATCAGCTTCAAAGGGAGGAAAGGGCCCGGACACCTCGGCTCCCTTCAACTTTCTTATTCCTTGGGGGAATTGCAGCCCAACCAATCTGCAAGCGCTCCAAAACCAAATGCAACCCTCCGATTCTCCTGCACCATTCATCCAGTTTTTGAGCTCCTTTGGAACCCACACCTATAACATATGTTGTGACAACAAGCTTTCCTAACCTTACCTGAGAGCACATCCCCAGCTGTTACATGCTGCGCCTGCACACGCAGGCCATTTTCCAGGCCCTGCGCCCTTCAGCCAAAAAGCCTAGAATTCAGCCTGAAAACAGGGGCCTACAGTCCCTGTGTCGTTTCAAACTAAAAATGGCAAGAGCCTTTTTAGCCTGAAACGAAGGGCTATTTTCGGTCGTTCACCAGAACGACCGGCCCTGAAACTCAGGCACCAAACCAGGGTTTCGGGAACAGGCTATTCTTAGCCTGTATCCA